CCCACTTTTGATGAAAGTTCCTACAGCAGTCTACCTAATGTTGCTGATTAGGGTTATTCCATCAATACTTGATGTATTCTGCAGCACAAATTATAGGGATAAAGGTGTTTTAACAGGTTTTTTCTCAGCATTAAGTGATCTTCCAGCTTACCAGGCAGTCCTGTGCGCACATCTCTCTGACCCCTTGTTCAGGTCTCTCAAAACTCAACTGTGATGTCAGTGAGTAATTCTGTCAGCATCTCTGTCCTCTTCACCCAACCTTCTCTCATATAATCTCTTGAGATGGCAGAATCCTGAATTTATGAAATACAAATCAAGTACAATTTTCTGATTGAGTGGGATGAGGAGAAGCTATCCCAAAGTCATAAATCCCCTGATACCATGGCTTGTATCACTGCTGCTCTTTCAACCGTATGGCCAACTCTGTTAGCCAGTACAAATACAAGAATATGCAGGCTGTCCATTCAAGTTATTTGTCACAGTGTTTAAGACACAGAGAACAGTTGTCACTGTTTGCTGGTAGCTGCTGCAAGTGGTACTGAGAAAATGAAGGGATTACAGAGGAGGAATTATAGGAGTTTATTAAACTTTTCCTGTCCAATTTTCTGTGGCTTCTGATGAGCATAACACACTGGCTACCCAGGACTCTGAGCTATGAATTCAGGTGAAGGTGGAAGTGAATTAGTACCTGGATTATCATGGTACTCAAAACCATCACACAAAACTGATGGAGACACATGATTTCTAAAGAGTTAAGCTGTTATTCCCTCTTTTAGACAAATGGAAAGGATGTAACATTTCATGGTGGCATGGCTGTAGGAACTGACTGTTGTCAGCTAGCACATTTTGCAAGAATTAGCATTTAGTATTGACAAAATTATATGGCCCCTAAAATTGGACTAATCGAAGTGCATGAACTAGCAAAACTAAAATACAAACCCTCTTAGCACTTGTCTCACTTTTTCTAGAACAGAATATGCCATTTCATACTGAGGGACTATTATTGTCGATGAGTTATAATTGATGAATATTTAAGAAAAGAAAGAAATATCAGAGCTTCTGTAAAAAGATAAAGGCTTTTTCTTTGGGAATAGATAGTGCAAAAATAATGTCATTTTATGTACGTAGGCTACATTTTGCTTAAGTAAGCTGGTCAAAGGCTATCTTTTTGTTCCTTCCACAACTTATACATCTAACAAGCAAAGATGTACCTTCAATCAGACCTTTATTTACTATTGAAGACAAACATAAAGGTAATTGAAAAAGAAAGTAAAAATTGTGATCAATACTATAACAAGCAAAGGGAAGTACAAGTTCAGAATTTCATTAGGAAGAAGTTAAGCAAAAATCAGTTTTACTTGTATATTACAAAGGCATTAATTACAGTTCCTTGGATACTAATAATATAATAGTTTGTAAACAAAAAAACAATTTAAAAAATTCAACACCAATAAGTTGGCAACTGAAAAGTGAAGAATCATTGTGCAATTTATAGGCAAACCCTTTCTCTTAGGACAAGTCCAGTCAATTAATGAACAAGATGTTACTGATTCTGTGCATACGAATATTATTCTTTTATTGTTCTTTAAGACTTTTTTACACTGGCAATGTGTAGAGAATCCTCCCCTGTGATTAGAATTATACTTGCTATTACCTCCTGTCTGCCTGGAACTCTTGGTATAATATTTCATGGAAGAGACTTTAAAGTCCATCTAGTTCCAACCCCCTGCCATGGAAAGAGACATCTTCCACAGACCAGGTGGCTCAGAGCTTCATCCAGCCTGGCCTTGAACACTTCAAGTGATGGCTAATTCCTTAATGTAGTGTAGTTGGGATTATTTCATTGTATGTTTCTATAGAGCATTGTGGCAAATATCCTGAGGTTTTATAGGTCAAGATATTTGTCCATTGGCTGATGATTTCTCTGGTCTTTTATCAGGGGCTCTCCTTCCTAGAGAGCCACTGGCACCAAAGGGTGGGTAAGATGTGTTTCTTTTGCAGTAGTCTCCTGTTTGTGGCCCTTTTCTTTTCCAAGGGCTTTGTGGTTTCTCCTCATCTTTTGATGGCCTATCACGTGGTAAAAGAAAAGCTATGGAAAAGCTCTCCAAAAGAAAGCTGGCAAACAGGAGTGAGTCTGCCACTGCTGGAACAATTCATCCTGATCCTTGTCCAGATACCCATTAATTGCTCCAGTGGTTGCAGCCTGTTGCCAGCTTCATCCTTCCCAAGAGGTCCTCAGCACTGGGGCACAGACAGGGATGTCTGCATGTGTCTGTGTGTCTTTGTTTGTTGCAGTTGATTTTTGGGTGTGTAGTGGACCCAACACTTTCCCAGAAAGAATCTCAGCTGTGTGTGTGGATGTGCAGTTGTATCATAGTAGGCATGGACAAGATCCAGAGAAGGAATCACAGCATGTTCTTTACTTCAGCCTCTCAAAACAAAAAGGTCAAACTCCCAGCAGGAAAGTCAGGGCGCTCCTGATGCAGGATTTCCTTTTTACTTGCACTAAAACAGAAAACATGTCAAAACAATGAAGAGATTATAGAGAAAGGGAAAATAAAACTTTCATCATTAATGAAGCACTCAGAAGATAGAATAAGACAATTCATTAGTCACACACAAGCATCTCACTCTCTGTTGTACTGAAAAACTTATTTTCCTTATTATATTTCCATAATATCTAGAATCCTAGAATGATAGAATAGCCTGGGTTGGAAGGCACTTTAAATTCCAGCTAATTCCAACCCTCCTGCCATAGGAAGAGAGGTCTTCCACTAGACCAGGCTGCTCAGAGCTGCGTCCAACCTGGCCTTGAATGCTTCAAATGATGGCTAATTCCTTAATATAGTGAAGTTGGGTTTATTCTTTGCTTCTAGCATCAGGTGGTAGAAGCTAAATAGGAATTTAGCACAGACCTTTCAATTCAGCATATTGCATATGGCGGATGGGAAGAGCAAAATAAATCATATGAAAAGTCACACAAGCTGACTTTAATGGATGGTCAGTGTTGCAGTGCTTATAAGTCAAAGTGTGGGCGTGTAAGCACTTTCAACCAGCACATAATCTTTATTTAAAATATTTTATATAATTTTGAATAGAAGAGAATATAGTATTTCAGTTGAAAGGGACCTACAACAGCTGTGACCAGTTCAAGACTGACAAAATGATAAAGCGTGTTCTTAAAGGCATTGTTCAAATGCCACTGACAAGCTTGGCATACACCACCCACCTCTCTAGGAAGCCAGCTCCAATGTTTACCACCCTCTTGGTATAGATCTCCTCTGGTTGGGAACTTAACTGGCATATCATCAAAAGTAAAAATCTTGGGAAATTCTTCATATCCTGGGAAAACCTTACCATTGAATCAGCAGAGGCAGCCTGGTATTTCTGATACTATAACAATATTCAGACAGACCAGTCTCTGATGTGGTAGAGAGCCCTGCTCATAAGAACATAATCACACAAATTCCACCCACAGGCAATTTTTCTACAGCATTTTAGTGTTGAGCTGTTGTCATTAAGATTTTTTTTTGTCATGATATTGACATTTATGCCTGTTTGTGCTGGAGAGCTGTTAAATGCAGGAACATAAAGTCCAGTGAACCGTCACATGAAGTAATGGTTTATCTGTGTCACGACTTTTTTTAAGTAGAGCACAAGAGTACGTAAAAAACCTTTTGGTTATTCTCTGTCATCCAGAAAAAGTTATATAAAAATAGGAATGCTCATATTCATCGTTGTTCTGCTACTTTACAATATCAAGATATTTTATACTGCTGTTCACAGTTGATCATTATATTAGCTACTCTATGAGCAAAGAATTGTGCAGGCCTTTTATGTTATTTACATAATGTAGTGAGTATGAATAAGCACTATTTTCCATAGAATAAAGAAGGGTGAAAAATAGCACCCTTAATAAAGTACTAAACCAAGGTAAATGAGCATTTTTAAGTGACTTTAGACAGAATATCATAGTACAATAATTTTCTTAGATTTATTCATTTTTATAAGGCAATGAGTAACCTATTCACTACTGTCTCATTCATCAAGTGAGGTCTTCAGGAAAAGGCACCCTCTCAGGAGCTGCAGAGAAAGCTCTGAGCAGAATCAGTACTGTTAATGCCTCAGATAATGACTGCAAGGATTGCAAAATAATACATTATTATCTAGCAGGCATTGATCATAATTATATCGCCGATAAAGGCAAAGCATATCAAATGTTATGTTTTAAATATTTCCTTTAATTAGAATAAAAATGCCACGGAAATAATTTGAGTGGTAGCTGTGTGATTCTTCTGAATGCAGAATGTAAAATTTTGCATATACTCAGGATGAAAGGAGTTATCACTCTAAGCTGTTCACTTATTAATTTTCATTTAATACTCATGGTATATCAGAAATTATAGATCATTCACCATTTTGCTTTATGACAGAGCAGAACGCTGATAACTATGCTGTGTCTAAAATGCAGTTCCCTCATTTACCTGCCTGCTTGGACTGAACTGCAGAATCTTAATTTGCTGTCATGGTTTCCATGATCCTTTGCTCATGTCACAATTGTTGTTACAATGAACACATTGCATGTACAGCATAGCCTTCATCTTCTTAAGGCAAAGCACAGACCCTTTCATCCTTGCAAAATGAATAATTAAACTAGGATTTTAATATTTGTGCTTGCTTTTGGGTTTATTAGCTCCAACTGTGAAAGCTAAATCAATTATTTTGTATGCTCCATCTGACTAACTCTTGAAAAAATAGACTGGAGTTTTCCATATATCTGTTCTGGCTTTAAGCTATTTTAAAATAGCTCTATTGAAGAAATGGACTCTGCCAATTGAATAAATGACTTTCTTATTATTACAATCATTGGGTTTGCATAAGGACCAGAAGTGTAAAGCAAAATTAGGGAAGATGTTTGTCACTGATAAGGTCCTATGGTGGTAATAAAATTCTTCTGCTGTACCTGCCTCACTTGGATTTGGGTGTTTTCGTTTCTGCAGACCCCAGAGGAAGGAGCCTCTACAACCATCTATGCAGCAGTATCACCCGAGATGGAAGGAGCTGGTGGCTGCTACCTCTACAACGAGGAAAGGACAAAATCGGCTGACGTAGCATATGATGAGGAGCTGCAGAGAAGGCTCTGGACAGAAAGCTGCAAGATGGTTGGGATTTCTGATGAAGCTACCAGGCTTCCCTAGAAGAAGCCACTTTCAGCTGGGTAAATGAAATGCATTGAAAAGCATGTCTAGGTGAATTCTTGCAGCATCAGTCATCATCCTGGAAATCACTGTTCAGTCCCAAAGGCAAACGTGAACAGCTCTGTTCTTCACTTGAATCCCTAATCTGATAGGGTGTGGGGGGAATATTCCCACAGAAAGGTGTAGTGGTTGGTTTTAAATCTAACCATCAGTTTTGTAAATCATTCTGTTTCAGTCCGTGATTAAAATACAATCTTTAAACATGTGCAGAGATGAGTTTTCATTGTTTTATTCAACAGAAATAATGCTTGAGCATGTTGTGCTAGGAGTTTTTTGAACTTAAACCACCTTTGTACATATAAGTTACTCTTTTAAATCAGTCTTAAAAGTTGCAGCTTTATTTCCTTAAGCTTCATTAATCTTTAAGATACTTTCATCAGCTTGTTCTAATGCAGAAATTTGGCATTCATGATCATGATGTTGTTTCTGTCTTAAAGTCAGTTTTATATGTCAGCTTTTATCCAAAGGTATTAACTGAAGGTCAGAACAACAACAAAAGGTAAATAAACAAGGTCTTCTTCAAACAGGATACTGAATTCACTTGTTTCCAGTTTAAGTTCATCTCTCCTACAAAGGTGAGGAAGGGATCAAACATCATCATGGCGACACTGGCTTTGGTAGAGGATGCAGCCAGCCTATTGTCTTGTCAGTGGGCTAAGATTTACTTGTCCCCTTTTTTCCTGAACCCCTGTAATGCTGCATCTGCAGTTTCATTCATTTTCTTTGACAAGGAGAGTCACACATGTACTGTTGCATGGAGGATCACCTTCTTTTGTTGGTTTTGATCCTAGCTCATATTAGTTTCAGAACTAGAGTTCATGGTTTGGAAGAGACAGCAATTCATGCCAGCCCACTTTTTCCTGTCTCTGGAGATGTGCAATGCATCTTCCCTAAACTGTGTCTTTGCCATTTTTAAGAGTAGCCCCTGCCCACTCATCCAGCTTTCATAGGAGCAAGAGGGTATTTTCCCATTAGTTATGTATGTCTTTCCTGAAATTTCCTAGCAGCTGTTTTATTTTAAATTTTATTTGACTGTCTCTGAGTGTGGAGCTGATGTATTTTACGAAGCTATTTTTAGCAAACACTTGGGTTTCCCCACTCAGTGGGATAGCAGTTGGTTCAGATGCTATCAATTCTGAGCACACTTCAGTTGTGTACAGTTCAGGGAACTCCAGGAACTCCATCTATGTCTACCAAAGAGAATCTTTAAGAATGATGTTCACATTCATGGAGTAAAAACCTAAACAGACATTGGGCAGTACAAAGAAAGTTTGAATTTATACAAGCTCAAACAACTAGAAGGAAAAAAACCTAGATTGAAGATAGAAATATTTTAATGGGAATGGTTTGGCAAACCATGAGAATAATTTGCAGAGAAACTTCCCTGGACAGTTTCAGTCAAGATTTTACATCTCACAAAACCATCTGGAAGTGTCTGGGCAGACCTTACAGCAGCCTTAGGGTACTTACAGGGGCATACAGGAAAGATGGGGAGGGGCTTGGGCAGTGTAGTGATAGAACAAGGGGTAATGGTTCTAAACTGAAAGAGAGAAGATTTAGGTTAGACATTAGGAAAAAATATTTCACTGTCAGGGTGCTGAAGCACTGGAACAGGTTGCCCACACTAACTGTGGGTGTCCTGTCCATGGAAGTTTTCAAGATCAGGTTGGATGGAGCTTTGTCTAGTGGAAGATAGCCCTGCCCATGGCAGGGGAGTTGGAAACAGATGATCTTTAGAGGTCCATTCTGATCCAAACCATTCTGTGATTCTTTGATGCCTTCTCACTGAGTCTTTCAAGCATGAGATCTGTGTCAAGGGAGCTCGAGGTCTCATTGTTAATGGAATAAGGTCTACCCTACTCCCATCTTGTTGATTTTAGGTGCCATCTAAAAAAGCCACATAATCCTGTAAATGTTCTTGCATTTCCTTTTTTTCAAGACACACAGGGAAAGAGACTATTAGCTGGGCATAAATCTTATATTCATTTTGGGGAGCTGGAGATCACTGCATGACAGAACCAAGTGCAAACACAGTGTTGTGCTCTCAGTTGCAGCAGACTAAAACAGTAGGAACATGTTCCTATGCACTGAACCCTGGACTAATATCCCTTTTGGGCTTTTTAGCTCAAACTTAGTACTTCACTCCAAGTGACCTTATCTGCAGCCTTTGGTTCAGAGGAAGATCACATCTAAGAGAAAGTAAGCATTCTTATCTCTCCAGAATCTAGGAAGAAGATGCACTGACGAAAAAGAAAAAAAAGTATGACCAAAGAAGAGCATCTGGGAACAAAAACAATAAACAAATTGAGGGAGAGCATATTTCCTGTCTGAATTAAGCCATGGATGATCTATTTTTAGCTTCTTAGAGTTGGTGCATACAAGGGTTAGCAGCAGGAGATTTATCACTCAGTCACTATAGCACTTTCTCTGTGTGACTGGCTGACTTTTTTTTGGTAAGTGAATGTAGTGCTTGTGAAATGTGCCAGACTGACACTCCAGGAACTAAATTCCTCTGTTTATTCATGGATCATGCACAGGATGCAGTAAGCCTGCTAGACAGCCAACATTTTGATGTTGCCATAGCATTCCCATGGAACATCATTGCTGCTAACAGCATGTCCAGGATTACTCAAACTAGATGGGATGAGATTATCATCAGTTTTAACTCTTTTGAAGCTCCACAATATTTGCCCAACCAGTTTCAAGTGGCATAGGGATTAGTGAATTAACAAAAAGAGTAAGGACTCATACTTTCAGTGTAATCTGAACTAATTTATTAACTGTCTCAGTGCAATGAAATCTCTTTAAACACTGAAAACATGGTTCGTGAGAACCGAGAACACAGATGTGGCTGAGTGAGGGGGAAAAAAAAGCATCCTAAGGCCAGGGATTTCTAGAGCATTGCAGTTCATGAAAATACAGTTGAGCTAGTTGCAAAACTGTTATCTCAGGAACTAAAAGCAGAAAACTGTGTCAGCTTTGCAGTGTCACACAAGCACACATGAGCTTATCTGGGGCAAAACCCAGTGTTGTTATAAAAGTACTTCCAGGGTGAATGAGAGTAATCACTCGTGATACTGCTGCAAAAATCCAAAATAGTTCTTAACATATCTATCTAGGGAAAAAAAATACATGAAACATGTAAAAAGATGACAATGACTTTACTTTTGCACAGATAAATGGTTAGAGCTGATTTAATTTCACATTTTAAAGTCATGGGATTTCCAGAGATCTGGACAAGGCTGTGTTTCACCACTGAATATGTGGCTGAGTAGTACATACATAGGTATAGAAAAAATACCTAAGAGCTCTTTAACTTTGCAAAGAAAGGCTAAACAAGCCCCAATAATTGGTAAATTGAAAGTAAACAAATTAACCTTCCAGCATGAAAGCAGATCCTCTCTGAGAGTGATTTTATATCGGAACATGTAGATCTGATAACTGAAGATAATTAAAAGATGCCTCTGAAAGGACACCTGGCAAATAGGCCAGGTAGGTTCCTAAAAATGTAGGTCACTCACAGGGAAGCCATACTTAGATTCTCCCTCACGTCCACAATGACAGCACTTATTTTGATTAGTGTGAGAGTGACCCATTGCTCACAATTTCTACAATGGGTATTTCCTTGCCAGTATTCCTCCCAGGCTAATATTTGGTTCAGAAATCAAAGTGCCTCTACCTTGGCACAAAAAGGCACACAAAATCCATTGTCCGGTTTAAGTCTGAGATAAACAGAAGCATCCACCAAGTACCAAGGTGATCTGAGCCTACTGCCTTTGGTAGCAGAGTGAAACAATGTCAAACCAATTTTTTTCTCTTAAAAGATGATTATAAATTTAAAACTAAAAAAAAAATCTCTAAAGAGGGACCAAAAAAGATGACTCCTGTTATGAAGAATAGTTCAAATAAATATAGATCTTATAGGAATGAATGGATCTTATGAGAATGAATAGAGTTGTCTAGGAATTGGGTAAGGCAATGTTATTTAAACAATGAACTTGTACAGGAAATAAATAACTTGCTGAAAAAAGCACTCTAAGGTTATTATAAAAAATTATAATTTCCTCAATAATTAACTACTTTGTCAACTGTGGGTAAATTCTTTATAAACTGAAAAGGCAAGTGCTATAATTTGTGTGTGAATACACTGTTATTTGCACATAATAAAGTAGCTACATTCTTGCTTCCAGTTCAATACTGACTTTAGGAACTAGATATGGAGCCACCAGCCACACATCTGAAATGATATTTCATAAATATTTAGACTTCATAGTTGACTCTTTACACAACTATCAGTTACTTTAATACACAGTGAGAATAGATATTGTAGAAACAAAGGATGTTGATATTTAGCATCAGGTTTGCTGCTGCCTCTTCCAAATGCACAGTAGGGTTAACTCTAAATATAACAGCACATGGCAGATATTGAAATGCTCATCCTAAATAAAATTTCTACATACAGGCTCTTATTCTGTTCTGGTGTTAGGCTGCCCTTGCTCATTCTATGACATGGTTTCCTCTTCAGCTGCCGCCATGGAAAGACAAAAATCAGATTCCAGTGAAGTTCACATGAAATCTGACACAGATAAGAGAACTACCATGATTTTAAGAGGGTGAGGCTGGGTATACTGACCCATCTGCAATAACTGAGGAAGCCAGAGCTAGACATATATTGTACAACATCAGACCAGGCAAGATGGCTAAGCCACAAACAATTCTTTGAAGGTAATTTTATTCCTTTTTAAAACCAATGTACTAGGCTTTGGCAATCTACTGTGGCAACACTGAAGGAAGGTAACAGGAAGAAAACAGACCAGCGGCCAAGAGTGCTGTTTCCAAATACATATAGTTATTGGTTTCCATACTGTACCAACCCTTGTTGGCTTCTCTCCCTTTGTAAATGGACCTTAGCCAAGAATTCCTTTCACACATGCAATCAAGAAGAGTCAAAATGTAGCACTGACTCATTTATTTAGACAAACTGTCTAGATTGACAAACTGTCACTTTAAAGTACAAGATTTCCTAATTTTGGAAAGGAAAAATTAAAAAAATAAAAAGAGCCAAAAACCAGGGTATGGCATTTTTTGAGTGGTATTAAATCTGGTCACCTCTTCACAGTCAGAATGCAAGACACATTAAGATGACAAGCTGCCTTATGTCCCTTCCAAAGAATAGAGATCAACAAACATTTCCTTCCCTTCTATCTTGGCATTGCCTGAACTCTCAAAATTAGCTCAAGTAACATCACTGTTTAGAAACAAGCAGATCAATTTCATTTATCACTTTCCTGTTTTGAAAGTAGAAACAAAATTTATTTCAGCTTGCTTTATGGAACTGATTATTTAGTCCACATTGATCTGCATATATTGAAGATGTGTGCTGTATCTCAGGCTTTTTTAGGAAATACTTCCTTTAATACTAAAGGAAAAGAATAAATTCCTTTTACAATGCACAGGATAGCTAAGGGCCAAATCCCACTTCCTTTTTTTTCCTCAGGGCAAGCTTTCATTGAAGACAA